AAATTTATTCTGAAGAGACAAACGGCGCGCATGCGCATAACCGTGATCGCGTCCCTTTAAGCAATCTGATTGGTTCGCTATCTCGGACTATTCAACAATATTCACCTCCTAGCGAGTGGATAATGTGTGAGCTCGGTGTTTTTCCCATTTTTTTTAGAAAACGATCTTTTAAAAGTCGGCAAAATCCTAGGGCTGACTTTTTTTAAGGCAAGAAAAGACTTGGAAGGATTCAATACTGCGTTTTTCAGTTTACTGTAGCTGAGTTTTGTGCTCGATGGATTGTTTACAACTCCCGTGTATTCGCGTAGGAGAAGTCGTTTCGTGAACTCAGCGTTTTCTAACAAGAAAATTTTGGCTCAAAAATCGAAGTTTTATTTATGACAAACAAATTTAAAAGGAAATGTTTGCAGAAATTGTACGTTTCAAGTAAACAGGAAAAAGAATGATACAGCAAGACGACGTCTTACCTAGAGCAACCGAGCTGCCATTTTTGTCAGCACTTTATGCGAAGAGCAACACACAACAAACCCTTTTGGCTATAAACTTGGCGAATCAACAGAAAACAACAAAGCTCTACTTTTCTTCTCAGGTAAGGAACAGTTCAAACTTTTAGCGGTTCCATTTAAGCCATTACGCTGTTTTTTGAGAAATGATAAACTTGTCGATTGCCATGTTTGGTGCAGTTTCTATTATGTTTGAAAGCGTTCTGCCGTTAACCGTACAAAAACAATGAAATGAAACAATGTTTCCCGCTCAAACATGCAAAGAAATCAAAGCAAGCGAAGGACAAGCAGAGAGCAAGAAGTACTGGGTGAGTACCATTAAACCTGTTTTTACTGTGCTCGCTTATTGCGATATCAAGACTAAAGATACATAATTAAAAAATGTATACCTTAATTCAATAAAAGTTGCTTTGGCAATTGGGCATTGGGCATTTGGACATACAATTTGGGCATACAATGTTTTGCTTGAGTGACGACAAAGCAATACCGATTACCAGTGCCCAAAGCAATTTTATTGAATCAGCTATATAGGAAATATATTTCCGAAAGAAATAAATGGTGTTATGCTTAATGTGACTCATTAACGTGTCATTTCTCCAGCTTCTGGGGAGAGGGCGTTACTGTCATCCGGGACATTATATATGTGTCTTTATGACATGAAAGCCCAAGACCTCTCTGCTCACTGCAAGAAGAAAGTTGGAAAACATTTTTCCCTCCCTTCCCTTCCCTTTGGTTCCACTTTCATCTCCCGGATGGCGGGTGTGCCCTCACCTTTGCGGGATAAATCTTCTTGTGTATCTGGATTTTCCTAGCTTGAAGTGCTTAAAATGGAATAAACGGCCACTCTTGAGGCCAAATTTATCCCAAACTGGAATTGTCATTATTGGGTATCCCAGAGAAACAGAGCTCGCCCAAAGTGAGACTCCACCAACAGCAATAACTGACTCAATAATACTATCTAAAGGAACATGTAGCATAAATTATTTCTTCTATGAATTGGAGTAAACGATCATTCAAGTTTAAAGACTATGGAAATGTGACCGTTTTCGAAGAGTGCTTATATTCTATGTTCTTTATTTTTAATTGCAGTCGAACAGTCGGATATTCAAATCATAGGTCGCTATCATGTTATTCCTAATACTAGGCAGATCGTGGCTATTTTACAGTCGTGGACTTAGTATCCTAGCCTTTAAGTGAACGTTAGGCTGAGGTTTGACCTTTTGGTGCTATCCTCCTTCCTTTTTTTATGGAAACTATGCTTAAAAATACTAGTTAAAGGTCAAATGAACGAAAATTTCGACCTTTTTTATTTTAGTTCAATTCTAGTGAAATGTGTTTAATATGAACCAAATAAACATACTATGAAGTTTCAGCTCAATTGAAGCACGTATCTCCGAGATATTCGCAATTAAAAATTGCTGTTTTTTGGCCCTTATCTTCGTAGAGCGGTCGGAAAAATTGTCGGAAAAAACAACTTGTCACGTCAATGTTGGTCAGGTGAAAAAAAGTGGGAAATTCGAAACAGAGTTTTTCGAGTCGACTTGGCGCAAAAGTGGTTTGTGCGGCCATAAACCTGGAAAGAACAGGCAATTCGTCTTCAAAAGTTGCAAGCTGTGGTTATAACCTTCTTATTATTATTTAATTTTCTCGAAGAATACATCATAGTAAAACGGACTTTAACGACATTTACTAATTTCCTTGAGTTGTACTGGAAATGTGTGTGCGCAAGTCCGACATTTTTCAAGATGAATTCGCAGAATGTGTTCATATAAGGAAGTTCCTGGATGTATAAGGTCCGGACACAAAAACAAAATATCTTTGTATAATAATCTGCCCAAAGAAATTCAAGTTTGCCCACAATGTGTTCGAAATCACTGAACTTTGTCGCACTCGAGCTGATATTTTAAAACCCACGCTCGATCGGACACTTCTAGCTTCGCAGATCACTAAAATAAACAAAATCCTCAATGTAGAAGTTTTGGCGTTGATATGTGGGCAGAAAAAGAGTTAATCTTTATCTAGTAAATCTTTGATCGTTTCGCGCAGATTAAGTTTGCTTTGTGTTGTCAAGTTGAACAAGCATAACACCTGTTAAAAACCTACGCGTAAGTAAGATTTCCTTCAAACAAAGTTAAAGTTACATTATTGCAAAAACTTCTTTCCAATTATATATAAGATTTAATTACCGATTGAGGTCACTTTAAGGACCATAGACGTCACTTTAAGCTGGCAAAGAGATGCGACAAGCAAAGAACAATTCCATCATGCATAAAATTCAGCTTAAGTGAACTAAACAAAGCTTCAATAAGGTTGCAAAACAACAAATTTTCATTGAAAAAACATAAGGCTTAAGGCTCCTATACCTGCTGACAAAGAAGAAGTGAATTTTCTGTACGGAAACAACCTACCTAAAGATCTTAAAAGAAAAAGATCAGTTGCAAGCTCAGCAGCCAAGCCCTGATTCCGACTACTTAGCTAGATTAGCTACTTTTTTTAGTAATCACTGGTCCATGCGAGGGTCTTCATTCAAGCAAATTAAACTCAGGAAACTGAATCATTAGAAAATACAGAAAACTGCACGATGGATAATAGACACATAAGGATTTGTTTTGCTCGCTTCAGTCAAATCCAGCTCCAGCAATTGTTTACGGGCAAAGAGTCGATTGTTTTGGAGTCACTGCCGGCAGTTATCGTTCTCCGAGTGAAAAGGAAAATTTGCGTACAGAAAGATAACAAAACTATGTAATTAAAACTGAAAAAACTAAAGGAAAAAAACTCTGACTGTTATTACTTGAGCAACAGAAAAATGATCGAAGTAGTCTTTTCTTCCCGAGTAAGCTTGCTGGCCTTCTAAAGTTCCGAGGAACTTTTAAGCGCTCAAGTTTGTTCACTTGCAAGCGTTGGCATTACGGTTCTTTGACATAAGACAAGGATAAAGCTGGTTCTGCAAAGGTAAATAAATCTGGGCATGTAAAAAAACTAACCGTAACTACTAATAACAGAATACAAGCGGGTTTTAATTCAGTCCGGCGAAAGAAGGCGAAGAACTGGACACAAAATCAATTCACAAATCGAATGCACAATTATCAGAAAAATACAAACCTCTTTGGAAATGTTCAAAACGTTTTATTCCTCCTCAGACTGACGGATGATCTGTTTTTACTCTAACATTGGTTGTTCTGAATGCAAAGTAATTTTCAAGTGACGAAAAAAGAACAACAACAGCAAAAACAACAAAAAAAGCCTTTACAAGGAGCAAACGTTCGCACCTTGTGTATTTAGCCTCAGTCAGAACTCTCCAGAACGAGACAAACAAACGCAGGCGATAAGGGATGCGCAGAAGCTTGCGCAGAACGTTTTTCCGCGCTGAAAGACCAACATTGACGTCACGTTATTCACGTAGTCTCCAGTCTATCACGCGACCATTTCAGAAACGTTTTCGTGAAGTTTTCGGAAATGCTCGGATTTTGATCTTTTATCTTTCTATAAAGGCTTGGGAAGAAAAATCTTTACCCAAACCTCTCTTAGGCTGGTTCTTTTTAGTGTTTGGTGAAGTTAAAGCGACAAAAGAAAATATGTCAATTTTTTGGTTCATTTGACCTTTAACATACGAACAACACGTACGTTATACGTAATAAAGCAGGAAGGGTTGTATCAAAACAAGGTCAACTCCAGCCTCGTTTCCACCCGTATAATTTTATGTAACTGTAAAATTAAGTAACTGTAAGTGCTCTCCTTTGTACACGCATGAGCTACTAGCATGCTTCCTCGAAATTTCCCCTTTCTGGATCCCTGCATGGGCAATAACTTAATAATGCATTGTTAAAAGGTATTACACAAACCTAACTAAGAACAAGTCTTACTAAAAAGATAAGTCTTAAAAACCAGATCTGGCCATTCCATTGCAGATGCAAACCGTTCCAGAGTTTAGGCGCAGGAGCAACGAAAGCGTGGTCGCCCAAGGATTGTTAAAGTTTTTAAATTTGGGAATGACAGCACTATTGTTGCTGTCAGAACGGAGACTATACACTGTATCCGGAACAAGATCACTCAGTAATTACGATACAATTTTTGAGATTTTCACAGCACGATAAGGCGTGGTAAAAATATTCAGTGTAATTACACAGTGGACAAAAGAGAGCTTACGTAATGTTCGCACTTGGTGCTCGGAAGTCAGGAGCCCGGCATACCCCTATGTTACTCTTGCCTTTCAAGATAAGGAGTTTATATGATTCAAAGCAAGGGGGCATGACGGTCAGTCCAGTGATGAGAAAAGTCTTTACTTTGATATCTGTCCATTGTCGTCCCGTACCTGCCGGTCTTATAAGCGCTGCACTTTGCCTGGCTTCATTTTTATTATTTTTAGTAGTGACAAAAAAGTGACTATAAAGTTTTCAATGTATGGACAACAATTTCTATATCTACACTGGTACACCAAGCTCTAAAATTTTGGGAACTTGTTAAACCACACTACTTGCTAAGTTACAGTTTGTAACTTTATATCAGTGTTATGGTAACCTGTCCATGTCCAGCTGTTTTATAACAACATTCACTCTGCTGATTCTTTCCAACATTGTAAGATCCTCCCCCTCCTCCACAGGAGTCACCCTCATTATCCCCGCTACTTCCCCCAGAGTAGCCTCCTCCACCTCCAGCACCTCCTCCATTTCCATAAGCCCCACCGCCCCCTCCAAACCCACCAACAGCATTGTTATACCAGGCTCTTCCACCCACTCCTCCCTGAAGAAATCCTTTGCCTCCTTCTCCGCCATTCCCCATTGAGCCTCCGAACTGTGTTGAGCTTCTTCCACTGGAGAAGAAACCACCACCGCCACCACCTAAAGTATAAATAACATTAAATAACTCTTCACTTACAACAGGTATCATGTGTAGGTGGATTTCTTGCAGCGCCTTTTTTCATTTAACAAAGGCCTCGATGTGTGTCACTAATATGCCTTTTTATTTGTTAAATACAAATGCATACCACCAATTTCATCACAGTTGGCCAAGGTCATTAAAACCTACTCAAATTTCTCTATGTTTGAATGTTTTAATCTAATATTATCTGCCTTTACACGTATATCAATTATATGAGGAACAATATAACAAATCTAAATATTAATTCCATGAATTATTGAAAAAACTGAAAACTAAACAACTTTAACATGCACTTCTTTTGAGGAATCTTGAGGAAACAAGGCAAAAAAGTCTTTAGCAGCTATGAACGCTGATGAGTGAAGTTCCTTCATTTTCAACGTTTTAATTGATATGAAATAATGGTCAACATGCGATGGATGTGATGGTATTCGTTAATTAAACCGAAAAAGAGACGGACCAAAGTCAAAACTTAACAATGAGAAAATTTACATGTAAACCCGGACTGTTGTTTTCGATGTCATTAGTTCGAATCCGAAGGGGAGATAGTCAGATAGCTAGATCTTTTCTTTGTTTGTTTTTAATTCACGAGCGACCGATACAACGTCTTCTCTTATGACTCTTAAAAAAAGTTGATACAAAAAGTTGAGGACTTTGACATCCGTCGATAGCCTCCATATTGAAAAACTGGGCCGATGTAGTTAGATTTTAGATTTAGCGAAGATTGTTGTTGTGGTGGTTCTACTCGTCTTGACACACTTATCTCACCTGAGTTGTCATTGTCAGCGGTCGTTGCTCCTTGTCCACCACTTCCTCCTGACCATGACTTGTACCCAGCATTCTCTGCGGTCCCTGTAGAGGCATCGCATCCTGAATGCCTAAAGGAAGCACCTTCTATGCCACCACCTCCTCCAGCTATTATCAAAGGCGTGTTGCTTCCTCTCACTACAAAAGTACCTCCACCGCCTCCGGAGCTTGAACTTCGCTTGTTGATTCCACCCTCTTGTCCAACAAGTATCTGAATTGTTTCGCCTTTGAATAAGCGAAAAGTTCCTTTCATTCTAGCAGCTCTTCCTTGGTATTGTCCCCTACTGCTGGATGTGTCGTACCCCCCTGCAGCTCCTATCGCCTCTATTCTGTAGTCACCCGTGTATGGTACAGCCCATTGTTGAATACCGCTGACCAAAGTAACTTGACCGTCATGATGCCGACCACTGTAGTAACTACCAAGAGAAGTTGGACCCAGTCTTCCACTCGCGCCGAAGTTTGTAAATACAGCTCTAAATTCTGCGTAATAAAGCAAATCGCCAAATATTGTACACGGATTTTAAAACATTACCTGAAGTTGCTTGAACGACTAAAGAAACGATCAATTTTTGAAAAGTGCTTTCATTAATTATTTTTTAACAAAAATCCATGCACTGTATCCTCTACTGTAATGTTAGCTCTACATTTCTTTACCTTGTAAAGAAATTATTTGTACTTGACTTTGAAAGTCTTTCGTTCATATCAACCTGACCCTAAATGCTCTTTCAATTTTTTGATAGCGGGAAAAAATACAAATTGCATGTATGCACTTTTATAATCCCTTCACTTTTCGATTTCTATATGCCTACTCTCGCTTCGTTCTTTGACTGATCTTAAAGAATGCTGTTTTACGGTTAGGGAGTTTGGTTAGAACCCTTACCCTAAAACTAGAGCATTCTTTTTTTGAAAAAAAAAAAAAAGAGCACGACCTCGGCCCCGACCCCGATCCCGCGTTTCACTGACACCCCAAAATTTGACCGACTCCGTCTTACTGATAATAAAAGTGGTCGACTTCTTAAAAGTCTAGACCCAATTGTGTTATGAAAGAAAAGCTGAACTTGGAGCGAAAGAAGTAATTTCGAAACTGTTGTGCTTGCGTGCATGGCAAAGCCAATTGGACCATTCTCAAGCGTAGGCGGAGATGATCGAATAATTAATAAGGTTAACCTGTGCTGAACTTCCTCAAGAGGTGGTTGTAAAAGGCCTAACCTGGATTAAAAACAATTGTTCTTGCTTGATTTGCATAACCCGGTTAGAACTCGATTAAGATAGTAGAAAGCCCAACTGCACGGACAGTTTTTTTTAATTTTTATTTAAACGAGTTAACTTTCATTAGTAAATTGGAATTATTATTCATTCAAAATATTTCCCCGATTCTGATTAGCTAAAAGCACACGCATAATTCACTATAACCAGTTACTGATGACCAAATTTGGAAGAAATTTGTGTTTAACGAGGAAATGACGTCAAAAATGCAGCGTTCTTGCAGGTTAATGCACTGTTAGCCGCGAAGACCTGGGGACGAGGTTAAGTTGTTTTGGTTGTGAAAACAAAAAATGGCGGACATTTCACTCGTTTCAAGAGTAAGAACTAGGCGAAATTATAGCTACAAACGTGGCAAGAACAGCAAGAACAAAACTCGAAGGGCGACATCTTCTGTTTGGAGAATATTTGCGGAGCTGAACAACCCTAAACGTGTACTATCGAGGGTGAACTTAATATCGATGGAGGTAAGCATGTTTTAGCTTTGTTTTTTAACTAGGAATTATTTTAAATGAATAATAAAACAATTATTGCATTCGGCTTTCGTATCATATGAAGAATTATGGAGATCTCGAAGGGTGTTATCCTCCTCGGCCTACGGCCTCGACGGATAACACCCTCCTCGATCTCCATAATTCTTCATAAGATACTCAGCCTCATTCATTAATTGTTAAATAACTTGGTTAAGTTCCTTAGTGCGGCTGAGGCAATTTTCGTTTACCTAGAATTATAGTCCGTCGCACAGGTTTATTGTGGTTAGATCGACTTACTTACCTCTTACATCTAAAATTGTCCTTGTCTCGATGCGATAGAAACTTAACAAATTTGCTTCGCAGACATAATTGCCAGAATCAGATTTCTTCAGGTTGTGAATCGTTAGGGTTCTGTTTTGGACTCTCATTCGGCCTTCCTCCCAGGTTCCTCCGATGCGTCTCCACGAAATTGACGCTTGCTCAGTCGCGAAACAGTCAAGCGAAAAGTCTCTCCCAGCGGTTTTAACAGCACTTCTTGGGGGTTTCGTGATGAACTTTGGCGGTGGCAACACGACTAATGTCGTAGTTGCAGACGCCTCTCCTAAACGGTTTGTAGCTTTACATGCATATGAACCAGAGTCACTTCTTATTGTATTGCGTTAAGTAATAAATTCCTTAGACAAAGTGAACCTGTTCTTTGGTAAAACACCCGTAAACTTTGTCCATGTCACAGTTGGCGACGGGAAACCTGTCACATGGCATCGAGGAAGCGTGATGTTCTGTCCTGTTTTAGTGTGAATGGGACCTGGGGATAGTCTTACACGAGGGGGAGCTGAAAAAATAGATACAGTCTCAAATGCATCTCTATACTTGTAGCCTGCGAAAACATCCGTTTCTCCTCGCTCTTCGCCGCTGGGGACGTTTCGTGCGGAGGAACGTCTGTGACTCAGCGACAGAAATTCCATACTGATGACGTAAAATCTGTCCGGAATCCGGCCAGAAGTGCTGATTGGTCGACGGAGTAGTTACATTGTTTTAACTATTGTTTACGAATGACAGACAAAAGACAAAAGGCCACAAAGGTCAAATGTAAACGCGAAGAATCTCAAACAAAATACCCAATATTTGTGGAATATAGTCTTCTCTTGAAGAAGCATTAGAGTTTTGCTGAAGCTCGTTGGCAGATGAACACAACACTTTACCAAAACCGACAAGAAGACACGTAAAATTGGTCAAATTTATATTTGGAACCTCATGATTACCGGATTTATTTTTTGTAAACATTTATTTGCGTCATCAGTATGGAATTTCTGTCGCTGAGTCGCAGACGTTCCTCCGCGCGAAACGTCCCCAGCGGCGAAAAGCGAGGAGAAACGGATGTTTTCGCAGGTTACTATACTTGAGCAAAATTGTTGCTTAAGATAAGTGTTTTATCTTGCTGTTAGAGCAAGGCCTCAGTTGGTATGCGAACCAAGCTTCAGGTTTCTAAAGGTGAGAAGAGAAACATATTTTACAACTTCAGATTGTATGTGGTAGAGTTCGTGGTGGTCCTACGCAAAAAATTTAGTTGCCAAGTAAACACTATATTGGGGCTATACCTCGTATATAACAGTGAGCCTTTCTGTAAACATTCTAAGTTATGCTTGTAGGTAAAAATTAGTCAAGACCAGAAATAAAAACGACATGTTCCTGAAAGAATCACTGATCCAGCTAATGTAAAGATCCTGATTAGTAGCTGGGCAACACTCGCTCAACATTATGGAGCTTTTATATCTCCCTACACCCCTAAATAAAAAGTCTCTATTACGAAAGACCCTTCGAAAAGGGGAAATTATCAAAGATAGATGAAAGACAATTGAAACATTTAAAGCGATGATAAACATTGGTGATCTTTCGCGTTTTTATATCAACTTGGCTTTTCGTATGTTAGTCAACATACATTGTCATTGTTAAAGTCTTGAATAAGCACTGTTTCCTTTATTTTACCTGACGACGCTAAAATTTCACAGTGATCAAACCCTATATTGTTTCTACAAGTGTACGAAACGTCGGGTTTTTCATGCGAAAGTTCACAATGTTTATCACCACTGTTTGTGTTATATTTTTGATTGAGCTACGATGGCCCTGGAACATATAAAAAAAGTCTTCGTGAAGACAATTTTTCAGTGGTTCCTTAAATGAAGAAAAAAACAAATGAGGGAATTAATTACGCGTATCAAAAAATCACAAAGCAAAAATTTTACCAGTAAAAAGGTAATGTAATACCTTACCTTGAACAGTCAATGAGACTGATTGGTTAGCTTAACCTAGCATATTTGTTGCTGCACAAATGTATCTACCAGTGACTGCAAGAGTCACGTGACGTACCGTCAAGACTCCACGGGGGTTAAGCTGAACACGATAAGACCAAAGGGAGCCGATGGGCTCTATCCACTTTACAGTCGGTGACGGGTTTCGGGTCGCAGAACACTGGAATACGGCATTTTGGTTTTCTCTGACAGTTAATTCCTTGGGCGAGATTACAACCGTTGGCATTGAAATTGATTCTCCAGGTTCTCCCTTAGGCCCCGGAAAACCCCTGGGACCTGGATTCCCCTTGATACCAGGCTCTCCTTTCTGACCGGGTGGACCGGTGGGTCCTTGCTTCCCGTGTGGCCCGGGATGCCCTGTGTCACCACGTGCACCGTTTCTTCCCGTGGCTCCGCGCGGACCTCTTTTGCCACGTGATCCCTTAGGACCTTCCCTCCCAGGTGGACCTTGAACGCACATTTTTTCGTTTGGTGAACAAAATGCGTGTGGTGTCAGCGAGTGTAAAGTCTTGTTTATCTCACTTCTGATCTGTTCAATGGTGAGCTTTTGATTTCCGGGTGTGGAGCTGGCAAAACGACGGACCCTCAAACTTGGAAGTTGAACTAGCAATAAAATAACACAGAAGAGTAAAGAAGTGTGACGTCACAAAAAGTCAAATTTGTACAATTATGGGATATGTTTGCATATCCAGAAAGAATAAGATCTGGATCGTAACGTTACGATCCGAGCCTACTATTAGAAGGATTTATATGGAGTCATCGGAACATTAGGTCCATGATAACAGTGCTTATATAGTTTTTTTTTATATCTCCTCGCCAATTTGCACTAACGGTCTGATTTTTAGTAAGTGTACATATTTCATCTTGATCTATCCGGATATGCCAGCCTATCCCATAATTTCACAAATTTAGTTTTTGTAACGTCAGCAATTGTCTTCTCTATAGATATTGTTCATCGCTCAAAGTACTGGGAGTGACGACATGATGCATTGACCCGAGCGAGCTTTTCATTTAGTTGGCCAAGACGGATATGTGTGGGTAAAAAGGGTACGCACGGTTTTCAGGCTCCTGTGTCTTCAACAGGAGATACAATTTCAAAATTCAGCGTCTTAAACAGGGTGTCTTTTTTAGACCGGAAGCCTTTAAAAGAGTGTAAAGGTTTATTTCAAAAGCTTTGCATATGTGGTACCAAAACTCTTTCCAAAAAAAATGTAATTCCATGCCGAGTTTCAGTTTAGACAATTACTGTTTCATAGGATAAGATCTCTTGAGGGTCTGAAGGGGGGTACCCCGTTAACACTTAACACTTAATTTTTTGGCTTTGTAAGATGAAAAAGTTAAATTTTATAGGCATTTTAATACTAACAGTAAAAGATTCTTTGAAACAGCATTTTTTCCAGAAAAAGCAAAAAACGACTTCAAAAAGGCCAATATTGTTTTGTTCAGTATATCAAGCTGAGGTTTTGGCCATGTTAAGACAATTTCGCATTATTGCAGAAGATTTCCGAAGGCTACCGAGGATTCTCAAAGACTGACGAAGATTTCCGAAGACTAACGAAGACTGGGTCCGACCATTGCCGACGATGCCCGAAGAACCCTCCAAACACTTAACAGTACTTTCTTCGGAAACAGCAAACACAAAAAAAAAATTGGCCAATTTAACAAGAATCACTAAAAATTATGGGCAAATAAAACTAATTAAACACTAAACCCAATTCAGACCCTCTTAAAAGGCTAAAGTGCGTCCTTGCATGAAAAAGGTCTATTTTTGTTATTGAAGACTATAGCAATATTTTGGCGTTAAAACTCTATTTTATGTCTTCTGTTGCTACGGATAGCAATGATGGACATGAATTGAATCTTAGAGAAAATGGGTTTCATTTTTTCAAGTTACTAAAAACTTAATTTGCCCTTGTCAATTTTGTTTCATTTGCTGGAGCATTTTGTTTTTGTTGAAAGGAAGATTTTGCAATTTTTTTTTACGCACATTTATATTCAGCCTTTCTCATACTCATGTATGACTGAATATTGTTTGTTACTTATTAAGATCGGCGACGGAAAAACATGGAAAAATATAGTGAATACATAACTAAAAATCACGCCACGGAGGATTGAACATTAATTTCAGATTTTCAAGAACTGAAACTGCATGCCTGGGAAAAGTGTGTTGACAAAATCCCAAGTCAAGAAATAAGTGGCGGCCATTTCGCAATCATAACTGAGAAAATAATGAAAAGGTCTCTCTTGATCCCAGTAAAGAGGCTTTTTTATTTATTTTTAGCCTGTACACAGACGTTGTTTTAATTTTCTTTTCGTTCTTTTCGAAAACATCGGCGAGCTCGCGAGAACGAGCGCGGAGCACGAGAAAGAAAAATAAAGAACGTCTTTCTTCTTCTTCCCCCACCACTACCCCCTTGCGCTGGCGGTACGTCAATATATCCCCTGCGGTTTATATTTTATCACCCGCCCTCGGCGGACTTCGAAGAGGAAATAGAGGGCTTAAACAGGCTAATTTATTTTAGTAATCATTCCCCGAATATCCTACTTCCTGATCTCTGATTTCTGTGTAGGGGTGTGCCGCTGGGACCCTGGAACCCTTAACCTATACCAGAGCTAGTTCAGCTGAATTTTGCTACCCTATACTAGAGTAAACTCCGCAAATCCCCCCTATCCTAGAGTAGCTGTTTTCCAGAAACTTACTAAGGTCACTAACATAGTCTAGCCAAAACAAAACCTTATACCACAATCTCTAGTCTAGATAAAATCTTCAACCAACTGATCAGTTTCCTGAAAAATGATATCCTATTTTAGACCCAAACGCTCTGATTTATATACCCTATTCTAGAGTAAACTGCTTGGAAACCATACCCTTCACTGCGGCACATACCTAGCCCATATATGGCAGTACCTCCTCCCCCCCCCGGGGTTTTTTCCGCCCTATTCAGGATTCTGGGTTTTAGGCAAACCCGATTTTGTGGGCTTTTTGGTTGTTCACACCATAACTGGAACGGGATTTTGCCGTTATCAATGTGAAGGTGTATAAAAGTTAGTTCCTTAGTTCTACTCTTGTTATACCCCCTGACGAGGTCTGTGTGTGATCAGACGAAACCGGTCGGAGAAATAAAACGATTAACAAGATGTGAGTACAGGCGTTGCTTTGTGATGCTCACGGGTGTTTAAAAAATAGATTAAAGTAAAAAATGAATAAATAAATAAAAAAGCTTGGCAGCTTTTTTGATAAACTGCATGCTCTTGGTGCTTAAATATCTTTGAAACGTAAAAGGTCATCAGCAAAGACAATTAGGACGTGAAACTATTTGCATTGATCCGAAATATTACGGATCATTCAGATGATCATTACACTCAACTATCTTACGTTACAATTTTATTTTTTGAAGTAGAAACTCAAAAAGTAACATCAAACTGATTGTTACCTACAGGTAGATCGAAGTAACGAATTCTTTTTACAAGTACGTTCGTAAAGGAGCGAAGTCAGATTGGTCTCCTTTAAAAGATAAATTCTAATTTTCCCATGGGCATCCACGTCCCGTTCACATGGGAGTCCCCCCGGGGGTAAAGTATTGCAAAGGGTTTAGTTTACCTTTAGACGTATATTCCTCCTCTTTTACCCCATTCTTGCGGTAAAATTCACCGACCAGGTTGACTCTCTGAACGTTTTTCAAACCTGTCACATCTCTTCCAACGTGTACGTTGGCAATTTGGTTGACTTCCGCCATGAAATCTTCAACAACATCAATCCTTTGGTTTATAATCTCCACTCGAACCATGGCAGTAATGTAAATCAGCAACGAGAAAATCGAGAGCGGATAAACAAACTTTCCTGCATGGTTGTTGGAATCTTGAGAACATGAATGTTCTTTTTCCGCGGTTGCCATGACCGCTGGTGTGGTATTAGCTTTACCTCGGAAGGCAACACGAGACCGCAGGGACACTACAAACCAAATTCTTTATTTCATGTGAAATGTGATTCCATGTTATGATATCGAGTTCAGTAAGTTATTTGAGGTTCCGTATGCCAACAAAAACAAGTAGAACATTTGACAAAAATTATCTTCCAGAAAAGTTTAAAAAAAATTCTCATCCTTAACCGAACACAAAAACCGTCGTGACCAGTTAGACTGGTTAGAGCTATTGTAGCTTTAAATATTCTAAAACGAAATACGAAGTTTCCTAATTGCGAAGGCGATTAGACGCTTAAACCGTTTACCTCAGTTGCATATTGCAAATGCAAAAATATTTCTGCCCAACATTTGCTGTTATTTTTGTTGCCTTTGTTTAACTTTTCCAATCAACACGTTTTAAAGAGAAAAATGCATTATTTAGCTATTGAATGATATGTTTTTGAATCTGTTCAAAGCACTCACAGCACGTGATCATGATAGATCATTGCTATTCGTGTTTTAAACATTCTGATAGTAACGTTGCTGTATAAAGCTGCCTTGATAGAAGAATACAGGAACAACAATATCAATAACAGAACTTTATTTCCGAGCCCGTTACAATAACAGTCATTCGAAAAAAAAACATTTATCCAATAGCAAACAAATTCTGGGTGGAGACAGAAATAGCCTGCGAGCAAGCTCTCCGGGGCGCTCTGGCGGCGAGGCGGGAAAAGGAAGGAGAGCTTGCAATTACGTCTCCAATTCCCCTGTGGCTCCCCGTCGACTGAGCTGTCAGATTTCTGCCAATCAGCATGAAGCGGAAACGAGCGCGAATGTAAACAAACATCGAAAAACAAGTGCCAAGAGTAATGACGTCATTACTAATGTCATCTCCGCCCATAAGCGTTTCGCATCGATATTTTCGATGCAGATAATCAAATTCCAGAGACGTAGTTGAAAGCTCTTTTTCCCGCCCCGCGGCCAGAGCGCCCCGGAGAGTTTGCTCGCAGGTTAAGACGGAAGTTGTTAACGTTATCATTATCATTGGTTTTCACATGACGTCACTAAAATTCAAACTACAAAACTATCAATCCTACTGAGATTTCATGATGTATTAGAACAGCTGAAAACTAATGTTCATACCAATTTCCGCTTCAAAAGGGTTCTTGGTTTTGTGTTAGAGTACGCTTGAATTTCTAAGCTTTTGTGTGACGCGGCTTTTGCATGACGGCTGAGAGAGCTGTAATGTTAGGTTAAAAAAGTGACTTGTTTCGGGGGATTTTGCCATTTAAACGGATAATGTATTAGAAAAACTTGTTTTACTTTTAATTAATGTTTATGAGTTCCTCGAGGGATAAACTCACGCTTTTGTAGCAAAACTCGGTAAGAGATGTTTCTGTTGGTTTCCGTCCGCCATGTTGGTGCCCTTCCAGGTGGGCACCAGCATGGCATTGCCATACAAATTCCTGTAAATTTGGGTAAAACATTTCTTCGGAATTCTCGTATACGAAATATTCTTCTGACCCGAATCTTGGCGAGGGTCTTTGTATATTTACCTCCTTTCACTTCCCAGAGTCTGGCCTCAAACTATTAAACGGTTTTGATTTTTATTTTAATCTATTTTGAATGGCGTGACACTGAATATTTTAGAGGTGCTATGTCACGCTATTTGCCATCTTTTTTAAAAGCTAAAACGTTTCTGGCATCAACTAAATTTCTAAAATAATGGCCTAGTTATGTTATTTTTAAAAGATTATATTTAGGCATTGAAACTGTTTCCTGTCGCCTTTTGCAATGGAAATGCATTTGAAAATTTAAAACAGCTGGGTCCAAACTTTTCAAGGTTTAATGCAATGCCTGCAAAATTATGGTTAGTGCTCCCTTATGAAATTTGTTGGATATCTTTTTCGTAATTCTGCAACGACATTTTGTGTATGATTAAGGTCACTAAGAAATGACTTTAGCACAGAATTCACCTATTAAAAAAGCAATATAGTTGTGACATAGCCCCTCTAATAATCTGTTCTTTTGACAACAAACTTTGAAACTAAGTGGATTTAAAAGTCCAAAAATAAAAAAAAAAATATTGCTAATTATTGCTAAGTCGTTTTGTGTCTGGCACAATTTGATAAATTTTTATAGCCCTGCAGCCTCACGTTTTCAAATCTTCCTTTCCCATCTCAGCGAAAACAAGCGCCCGATGTAAGCCGTTAATTGAATGAGCTTTTACGAAAATGTCGCATAGTTGCAGTTGACAATTTAGTAGGAACAAAACACGATGCGAAAATTGACCTCATTGTTAGATACAATCAGGATACTCTGGGTAATGGCTCATTCCTTTTGTAAGACCAGTTGCGTGTAACACTACACTATCAAGTTTAACACTATTTTATTTCAGATTTCACGCGCGGTCAACAATCAACCGTTAATACGTGTTTTTAAACGACACTGATTCCGGTATATATATCAAGCCATAAAATGTTAATCAAGCTGCAGTAATATCTATATCAATGTTATGGTCACCTGACCATGTCCAGCTGTATTATAACAGCATTCATTCTGCTGATTCTTTCCAGCATTGTAGGATCCTCCCCCTCCTCCACAGGAGTCTCCCTTATTATCCCCGCTACTTCCCCCAGAGTATCCTCCTCCACCTCCACCACCCCCTCCCCATCCATAAGCGCCACCTCCCCCTCCAAACCCGCCTACAGCATTGTAATACCAGGCTCTTCCACCCACTCCTCCCTGAAGAAATCCTTTGCCTCCTTCTCCGCCATTCCCCATTGAACCTCCGAAGTTCTTTGAGCTTCTTCCACTGGAATAAAATCCACCACCGCCTCCACCTAAAATATAAATAACATTATTATCAGTAACTCTTCACTGAGGAACAAAAAGAAACATGTGCAGGTGGATTTCTTGAGGCTTCATTTAACAAATAAAATTAAGATTCTATTGATAAAAGTAATCACATCACTTAGGCCTCGATGTGTGTCACTAATATGCCTTTTTACTTGTTAAATTCAAATGCATACCACCAATTTCAATCAGAGGATTTGGTCAAGGTCATTAAAACCTACTCTTACTTATTATATGAGGAACAATAAAACAAATATAAATTCATTTCATGAATTATTGAAAGTTAAACAAATTTAACATGCAGGAAACAAGGCAAAAAAGTCTTAAGCAGCTATTAAGGCTGATGTGTGAAGTTCCTTTATTAATTTATTAATTTATTTATTTAATCGCAATGATTTCAATGCTAAAAAAGACTAGGGGAAAAAACATTTGAACAAGACACCAAAACGAAGGGACGAAGGTGCGGGACACACAACAGAGCGAGGCTTCAAATTAAGTGTACCCTTACGGAAAATACACAAATACTAACTATGTAAACATTAAAACATTATAAAAAGTATAAAAATCCTAAAAAGTCTTAGTCAGTTACCAGCTAATAGAAGATTACGTGAGGTGTTAAAGTTAGTGACGTCATAGTTTGTACGAAAAGCAGCCGAATAACGTTGAAGTAGGTGAGATTTAAACTGATTAAGAGAACTAAGAGTACGAGTGGATTCAGGTAACGTAATACTTTGATGAACGTTTTAATTGATATGAATAAATGGTAAGCATACGAAGTTGAGGACTTTGACCTCTGTCCACGAGGTTAGCATCCATATTGAAGAAGGCGGATGTAGATAGATTTTAGATTTAGCGAAGATTGCTGTTGTTGGTCTTACTCGTCTTGACACACTCATCTCACCTGAGTTACTGCTGTCAGCGGTCGTTGCTCCTTGTCCACCACTTCCTCCTGACCATGACTTGTAACCAGAATTCCCTGTGGTCCCTGTAGAAGCATCGCATCCTGAATGCCTGGAGGAAGCAGTTTCTATGCCACCACCTCCTCCAGCTATTATTAAAGGTGTGTCGCTTCCTCTCACTACAAAAGTACCTCCACCGCCTCCGGAGCTTGAACTTCGCGTGTTGATTCCACCCTCTTGACCAACAAGTATCTGAATTTTTTCGCCTTTGAATAAGCGAAAAGTTCCTTTCATTCTAGCAGCTCTTCCTTGGTATTGTCCCCTACTGCTGGATGTGTCGTACCCCCCTGCAGCTCCTATAGCCTCTATTCTGTAGTCACCCGTGTGTGGTACAGTCCATTGTTGAATACCGCTGACCAATGTAACTTGACCGTCATGATCCTGTCCACTGTAGTTACTACCAAGAGAAGTTGGACCCAGTCTTCCACTCGCACCAAGGTTTGTAAATACAGCTCTAAATTCTGCGTTATAAAGAAAATCGCCAAATATTGTACATGAATTTCAAAACATTACCTGAAGTTGCTTGAACGACTGAAGAAACGATCAATTTTTGGAAAGTGCTTTCATTAATTATTTTTGAAAAAAATCCATGCACTGTATCCTCTACTCTAATGTTAGCTCTACATTTCTTTTTCCTTGTAAAGAAATTATTTATACTTGACTTTGAAAGTTTTTCGTTCGTATCAACCTGACCCTAAATGCTCTTTCAATGTTGGGATGTCGGAAAAAAAATACAAAATGCATGTATGCATTCTTATAATCTCTTCACTTTTCGATTTCTATATGCCTACTCTCGCCTCATTCTTCGACTAATTTTAAAGAATGCTGTTTTAGGGTTAGGGAGTTCGGTTAGGATCCTAACCTTAAAACAGCATTCTTTAACCACGACCTCGGCCCCTGCCCCGGCCCCGGCCCCGATCCCGCGTTTTACTGACACGCCAAAATTTGACCGACCCCCGTATTACTGATAATAAAAGTGGTCGACTACTTATAAGTCTAGACCCAATTGTGATAAGAAGTGTTTTGATAAAATCCCAAGTCACGAAATATGGCGACCATTTCGCATTAATGAATGAGAAAATAATGAGAAGGTCTCTCTTGATTCTCAGTAAAGCGATTTTTATTATTAGTAATCATTCCCCGAACAACCTACTTCCTGATGTCAGAGACTCTTCATAA